GCTCGCCCCCTCCCCTTCTTTGTGCCGTGAACTTAATTATTGAACAAGGCCAAAGGGAAGGGGGGTCCGAATGCGTGGGAGTGGGGAGTGGGGAGTGGGGAGAACAAGTGCTATGTGAAAGATTTTTTTTTTCCCCCTGCTCTGTGCTATGGGGGAGAAGGAGAAGAAGGCGAGAAGCGGTTTAAAACGTCCTGTTTAAAACGGCTCCTATACTTTCCCTCTTTCTCCCTCTTTCTTTTTAGAGTGAAGCATCTCTTCCTTCATTTTCCCCTTGGTGCTGAGAAAAAGCAGAACTTAGATCGGGTAAAATAAAATATAGGCTTAAAGGGCTGGGGAGGGAGACTCTTGGAGAGAAAGGGCTGCCGCTATTTATCAGCCTTTTAAAAAGCCCTCAATTTCATCCCCAACTCCTTAGGAATCTCTTCCCAACTCCATTGTCCAGGTCAGTTCCTGGGGGTGGGCCCTAGGGGCCTGGCTTTTGCTCTAACCCAGCAAGCTAAGGAAACTTTCCTTAAACTGCCATAAACTCACCTATCTCCAGAGGGGGTCAAAATATAGGTGGAAGCAGGGGGGGGGGGTCTTATTGGCAGGGGCTGGTGGCTGAAGAGAAGTTCCAATTGGGGAGGTGGTTTAACCTGCCAAGGCCTCCTTCCAGCTCCTTCCAGCACAAGAGCTGATTTTAAAACTGAGCTTGGAGAGGTGATGCCAAGTGGGACAGATACAGACAACAAGCTCCAAGTCCATCTCACAGAAGTCTGAAGGCAAGGGAAGGGAAGGAAGAGAAAGCCTTGTGTGGGGTTACTTTGGGGCAACAGAGTTTTTTTTTCCCCCCTACATAAACTGTAGTAGGCCAAGAAGACTTTACAATGCCTGGTGGGTGAGAAGAAATGCACATCTGATCATCAAGGAGGGCAACAACGCCTGCCTTCTGAACATGATGCTCACCACCCAGCTCCTTCACTAAACACCACAGAATTGCTCAAACCTGTCCCAGGAAACAGCACATTTGGGGGGGGGGGGTCATGAAAAAGAGGCTTAGTTCACCAGCTGCCCATTCAGAACAATGCAGAAAGAAATAATATCCACCACAACAATACACAGAACCAAAGAGAGACCAAGCCCTTAAAGGACATTGGATCAGAAGGGAAGCGATCAGGCTGGGGGTGGGGGCTGATATTGGGGCTAGAGGCCTAGCCAAGCAGAACATTTGCCAGCCTGGTTCAAAAGGCCATGCAGAGCAACATGGATGCATCCCATGGAGTTCAGTGGGCCCACCATAGGCAAGAGGCATTCTTAAGTGCCCTGTTTTGCAGACCCTTCTACGTGGGTTTACACAGTACACCTTTCTCTCTTCCTTTTTTTTTTTAAAGTTGAACCTATGCAAATGTTCTGTCCATAGCGAAGAACTGTTTCATGCCACACACCTTAAAATGACCACAAACAACTCATGAAAATACAGTGTCACTTCAGCCAGACCCTATTCATTATACCATCCACATCGATCCTAATATTGTGATCTTTCCTCTTCTCCCCCAGTTAAAAAATAGTAGTCAAGAGTGGCGTGTCTTACTTTTACATTTAAGTGGGACAAGCAACTCTCTTTCCTACCCAATTCTGTGAAATTAAATTATTTGTAATTAACAAAAAAAAAAAAAAGGGGGGGGGGGGGAAGGAGGCAGCATCCTCCAGGCAACATCTTGGAAATTTACTTTTTTTTTTCCTTTTGAAAAAATCAGAAAGAAGACTTGTAGAGCTGAAACTCTCTGCCTTCCCTGCCATCACCATTATTTCTTTCCATTCTACAAATTAAAATAAAACAGCTATCCAAACTCCCTTGGAACACTGGTTTTGACAAGGACTAACTAATCTGAAGTATATAAAGAGAAGGAAAATGGTGACACGCACCCACCACCCATACACACTTACTTTCGCACAAGGACATTTAGGAGAGTCATACAAGTGGTCAGATATCAAATAATATTTTAATTTCTGAATACTTTCAATTTTTTTCCTTGGAATATAACACACAAAGACTGGACCAAACAGTTTTCAGTTATTATAACTTTTACAGTATACAGAAATGTTGCACTTAAAAAAAAACCTTCAGTTTTTTTTCTTTAAAACACAAAAACTGTAAACTCTAAGGTACTGAATCAACCACATTATCTATAAGTGCCAACAGTAGTGTTATTTTTTTTTTTGTCATGCTGAATTCAATGGTTTTTTTTTCTTTTTCTTTAAAAAAGGGAAATATCAACAAGTATTATAATACAAAGAGCTTGCAAATATACAAACAGATAGAGGAACTCGGTAACAATTCAGGACAACTAGGCGGAACCCAATTTCATTCAAATTACAAAAAAGTTAACTTTGTGATGAGTCTCTCTGTGTGGTTTTCTGTGTACATGTACGTATGCATGTTTTCATCAAAACCATGTTGTGTCTTGGACACAATCTCCCTCCAAGAAATACCCAATTCCCTTCCAAAATCCATGCTTTGCCATAAATGCATTTGTGTGTGTGTGTGTGTATTGTATATACACAACACACACACACACACATACACACACATCTCCAGGCAGACAGGCTACAGGCAGGCTGATCGTGGTTCACTTAAAAAAAAAAAAGCTATAATTATAGTTGTTGTAGCTTGAAGCTAAATTTTTGGCTGACCGGATTTAAGTGCGTTTCCATCTTTCTAGAATTATTGGGGGGGGGGCTTTTTCTTTATTCCCAATTTATGTTCTTCTCAGAAACCTTTCCAAGACAGTTTTAATTCTTTCAGAACATATACTTCTTAAAGGATACACAGTTCTTTAAAAAAAAAAAAAGAAAGAAAGAAAAAATGAAACCAAGATTATATCAAAATTATTATAGAACCACAGAATAAACTGGTTTGGAACCAGGATTTCTTTTTTTTTAAAAAAGCCAAAACAAAATCCTATAGGTACACAGTCAATGTTGGACAAATCAATAATTTGGAAAGAGAGATAGAGAGAGAAAGGAAGAGAGAGAATTTTTTCCATTATGTTAATTTTCTACAGATTTGCTTTTTTAAAAAAAATGCACTTTTAGCGAGAGATTGCATTTCAAAGTTTTAACACCCCCTCAAAAAGAAAGAAAGAAAGAAAGAAAGAAAGAAAGAAAGAAAGAAAGAAAGAAAGAAAGGAAGGAAAGATGGAAACGCACTTAAATCCGGTCAGCCAAAAATTTAGCTTCAAGCTACAACAACTATAAAAGAAAGAAAGAAAGAAAGAAAGAAAGAAAGAAAGAAAGAAAGAAAGAAAGAAAGAATTTTCTTTTTAAAGAGAGAGAGAGAGAGAAAGAGAAAGAGAGAGAAATAGTAACTTGTGAAAGACAAGGGAATTTTAATGCATTCTGTAAAAAGTCCATTGAACAAGTTTCTCTTTTTAAAAAATCCATAGTCCATTCAAATTATTCTCCTCTCTTCTTTTAGCCAAGGTGTTACATCCTTGCTTAACTGAAGGACGTTTAAACAACCGCCAGGCCCAATGTCACTCGCGATTCCTCTGTTCCAAATTTTCTATTTTTGTTTTGTTTTGCTTTGTCAAATTCTCTGATTTGTGGATTTTTTTTTCCTCTCTCCAACATTTTTTTCCCCTTTCTCTTATTGGATGGCCATATACGGCCAGTTAAAACTGCTTCCAGATAGTAGCATATCTCTGATAAGGGTTTCTATGGGGGTTTTACCTACCAAACGGACGAAAAACAATTGCTCTATGACCGAGGAAGAGACGGTGCGGAGAGAGGGGAGACGTAACAACAGTTTCCCAAAACGGGTGGGCTGGTTTGGATACTGACTCCTCACATACTCTTCCAACGCGCACTGGGACTTCTCTTGTAAACTTTCAACGTGCGCTACGTCGGATAGACCACACGCATCTAGAAGAAAGGGGGGTTCAAAGAAAGAGTGGGACCGTCGTCAGTGTTAAATAAGACATGGTTTTCTTTTATAAATGCTGTACACACACACAAACACACACACACAGTACATAGATATATACACATAGATATGCACACGTGTGTGTGTGTGTGTGTGTATGGACACACACACACACACATGATCGCCAGCAATACAAGCATGCTAAATTCACTGCAGTAAAATAAGCGCAGAGCAAAGGGGGTCAGGACAGGGCCTTCTGGCTCCCTCTAGACTTGCATTCCAGCCCAGCTGCCCGGTCCTCCGCACCTCCAGGCCCCTTTTCCCTTCCAAACACGGTTCAGCCCAAATTCAGCCCTTACAGAATTCCCCCCAGAGCGTTCTTCCTTCTCCGCCTGTGGCCATAGGAGACTAAAGCTGCCTCTTAGGCAGAAAACCCAACGGGGCTTTCTCCCGAGGAAGTCTGTTTTGAAGCAAGCAAGGTGTTTTCTTTGGTGTTTAAGGGCATTGGGGGGGGGGGTTGTTTGAGGAAGACAGCATGCTAAGCACGGGCTGAACAGCCCCCCTGGCTTTTTTTTCTTAACTGCCCCCTCCACCCGAGTTTTGGGGATGGGTGGGTGTCTTTTCCCCTTTCCCCAAATCTGCACGGGGATGTTTAATTTCTCGGCAATTTGGGGAAAAGGGAAGATGTGTTTTGGAGCAGGGAAGGGAGAAATAAGAGGCTCCATATTCCTCCCTCCCACGGAATAAACAAAACAAAAGAACATGTTGGGAAAAATAAATGATGCAGAACCTGACCAAGAGAGTAGGGGAGAGAGATGAGTTTTAAAGAAAGCCACGCACGTTTAGAAATGAGCTCAGCTCATGAGAAGGGAGCCCAGTAGCGCCAAGAAAGAAAGAAAGAAAGAAAGAAAGAAAGAAAGAAAGAAAGAAAGAAAGAAAGAAAGGAAGGAAGGAAGGAGAGGAAGGAAGGCCATTTCCCCTAAAAGAGACACCCGCAGTTTCTCCTCCGTCTTTGAAAGTGATTTAAGTGGTCCTTTAAAACTGATCTTGTCAGTTTAGCTTATTCAAGGGCAGCCAAGCAGAGTCTGATCTCTCTCTTCATTAGAGCTGTTTTCTCCTTCTTCCCCTCTGCTGGCTTTCATATATATATATATATATATATATAT